ATTTTTAATTTAAAAAATCACTGACATAATATCTTTTATTTTTAATTAAAATAAATTTCATCAATAATTTTTTTAAATGTAAATACTTTTTTGGTATATTTATTTTATTTTATATGATGTAAGTATTTTTTTGGTTCAAAAAATGTTTAGGAACTTTATCACTCAAAATATAGATGTTCATTGGCTTTTTTTTCAAAAAGTTTTTTTGGCTTTTTTTCAAAAATCTTTTTTTAATGTAATTTTTTTTTGTAAATATAAGTATTTTTTGTTATATTTGTTTAATTTTATAGATCTAAATACTTTTTAGTTCAAAAAAACGTTTAGGGACTTAATCGTTCAAAATATGAATGTTCATTGGGTTTTTTTTCAGACTTTTTTCATTATTTTACCACATTAACCAGTTGTATAAATCATAAAGATGTATCTAACATGTTTTAGAAAGTTCAAAGAGTTATTTAACATGTTTTGGAATATCCAAAGATTTATTTATTTCAAAAAATTGTCTAAAAACTTAATCATTCCAAACATTAAAGTCCATTAAGTTTTTTTTTTAAATTTTTTCTAAAATAATAAATTGTTTTTATAAACCATCCGAACCAACTCTAAATGAAATTTTGAACTCAAAGTAAAATGAAAAACCCTTCGCCATCATTCCCATTCCCTTTTGTACCTTGGATACCAAAATAAGCAATGCTCATGAATGTTCTACTCCTTTGCCCTATATTTATTCATCCCTTCTCCTCGATTTGAATTTTGAACAGGCCCCTACCTTCAATTTCAAAGGGTTTACATGGGATTCTTAAGGGACAAGCGGAATTCATCTTCTTCATCAACAACCACTTCTCCTTGTGCCGATCTCAGAGCTGCTTACCACAATTGCTTCAACAGGTCCTTCCACTTTATTTGTGTGTTTTTTTGGATTTCATAGGAAAAAACCCTAGAATTTTTTTCACTCACATCTGTAATTTAATGGCTACACAGGTGGTATTCGGAGAAGTTCTTGAAGGGTCATTGGGATAAAGAAGAATGCGTTTCGGAGTGGGAGAAGTACAAAGATTGTTTATCTGTAAGCTCATATGAAATTTATTTCTATTTCTTCTAGCAATATTACTAATCTATTTGCCTTACCCTGAATCGTCAATGTCGAATAGGAAACACAAAATCAAATGTCATCATGGATTTGTTCTTTGTAATGTCATCTTCTCAATTTTGACTCAGATTGTATCCATTTTAGGGCAATTTGTTTAGTCCATTTCATTGTATTCCTGGTTCCATCTTGTATTGGACCTACAAATTGGAACTATTGATCGCATACTTTCTGTTTATTCTTAATCTTACATTACAGAAACACTTGGAAGACAAGAATTTGAGCCGCTTTCTGGAGGCCGAAGGAGTGAAGAGAATACCTGCTTCCATTTCCAAATGAGCCATGCTTGTTTTAATTTGAAGTGGTAAGTAAGATTGTATATGTTGGAAGGTTTTAATGAAGTTCTTATTGTTCTATCTTGTGCTAAGCAATTCATAATCATCGAATGATTAGTTCAAAGTTTTCTTGCTAAATCCTGTAGGATTGAATGACTGGCTTTGACAAAATGTGGAAATTAGCGGGAGCAAATACACTTGTTTACATGATATGAGAACTTAAAGTTCATTCAGTTACTTCATTTGAAATTCTCTTTTACTTTTTGTATAAGGTAGGCGAGCTCTGCTAAGACCTTTTGGTGTAAAATGATCATTGTGGCCCGCATTGGTTTATGAAAAAAGTGAGAAGAATGTAAATGAAGACGGAAATTGTCAAGTAATAAGTTTTGTGTGAACGTTTACATTTTTGGCAGTTCTTGTTGTCCTGTAGTTGAAAAGATCCATGTTGTGTTAAATTTATGTCATCAATGTATCTGTTCAGGGGACAGACAAAATTCCTGGTTCATTTACACCAAAATTATAATTACCTAATGATTACGGTGATGTAAATTTATGCACATTCTGTGAAGACAGTGACAGATTTCTGATGAAGTTCGAAAGAGGAGTATATCGACATAATTTGTCTGTATTGATTATGGATAATGTTCTAAACAACTTTGGCAACTTAGGGACTTACTTCATCATATGTAAATCTTTACAAAGTTGAGTTTAAACTTGACTACTCAATTTCATCCTCAAAAGAGGTTAGGTAATTCCTATTGACCATGAGTTTTTGGCATAAGAAAACAGAGGATTGAAGTGGTATTCGTGGTGGAGATCAAAGGGAATGTGAAATATGATAGAAATGAAAATACAAACCAAAGATGAAAGTAGGAACCTGAAGTTGCAGAAGATCAAGGCCATAGAAAAATGGTCCTTTATGAACGTAAGCATTTAGGCAAGGAGTCTAGCTACTCTAGTTATGTTGCATTTTCTTTTGGATAACTATGGGTGTTCAGGCCATCTTGCGTGCACCTCCATGAATCCCGAGGGGTCCTGATATCAATAGCCATAAAGACCTCCAATGGCCTTGAGGAGACAAAACTAAGGCCTTAGTGGTTGAGCTACCCTTGAGGATTTTAATGATCATATATTTCTCCCTACTGCTATGGACCGTTCTTGTTTATGTTGTTATAGTCCTGATTTGGATGAATTGGCATGCTTATCACTTACTTAAACTTCGATCTTTGACCTTCCATTGTTGTTTGACCTTTTTTCTAGAACGTGGACCATATTTTCTCTCTTGATACATATTCCATTCATTCCCTCGTGTAAACGGTATTGTTACTGAATGTTGGATTATGAGCTTACTGTTAGTTCATTCGTGGTTGTTCCATGACTGCCAAATGCATTTGGCGGTATTCTGAATTGTGCTCAACTTCTCATGCCTTTTCCGTACTTATGTTAAATAAGAAAATAATAAATTTCACTTTACTCTACAGGCATGGCAAAACTGATTGTATTCTTACCCATATCAGTGCTTTCCTGACGAATCTTTAATCCATAAATCCTAAACCCTAAACAGGATTAACGGTTTCTGGAATCATCAAGGTGTTGTTATATTCTGGGGCATTTAGGGTTTAGGGTTTACATGACTTTTTAGAGAAGTAACATTACCAACAATAACATACCTGCTAATGTAGATGATCTGAGTTGCCACTGCTACTTTAGGTTCTCAAAAAGGTTCAAAAGTTATGGCAGGGTCTCATTTTGTTCGATACAAGAGTGTTTTTTTGGTCATGACCATCCATCATTGTATACAAATAAAACAACTGCTGTGAAGATTGTTTGGTTTGATTTGATTTGACCTCCAATCTTTTTGTAAATTGGTCCCACCAGTTTGAATATTTTGGTCGATCACCGAGTCCTAGGGTGTCTTTGCTTTGCAAGAGTCGTTGAGGGGTGTAATAGACCTCCTACCATATAGATATAGAAATTATACATATCTTTTTACATGTGTAACTGTGGGTGTTCGGACCAGCTTGCAGTTAAAGGCCAAACAAATCATCGGTGGCTTTGAGCTCTTTGAGAGTTTCCTTTCACATGTGCTATCCCTAAGAGTTTCTTTTCAAATGTGTTTCAAACATGAGTTTTCTCGAGATGTGTTTACTTTTATGGTATTCAAATACAATTATGAGGTTGTAAGAGGAGAGGATAACCATCTATTTGAACTAGTTGTCTATGCAGCGTGATTTTGAAACTTCAACTCAAACTCTTAATCCAGCTTCGTGTTTCTTTATTTGAATTTGGCTCCCACGGAAGAATCATGAAACTCTAAAACAACTAAAATTTACTTATGTTGGTGAAGAATGCAGGTAACCAAGTAATTCAGTAACTTGTGTGTGAATTTTGTAGCAAATAAGTATCTTCATTTTTTTTTGTAGCTAAATGTTTAATGTTTGCCCAAGTTTTATACATGCTCAACCCGGAAAGGTTTAAATTTCCCTTGACTCAGTTTCTATAACTACTTCGTTCTTGTCAACATAACGAAAGGCACTATAGAAATATGAATCCATATGCTTGATTGTCTTACTCGTTTGTGTACCGATTTAAGAAACAAACTGTTGGATATGCACTTGTATTTGGATTGTAAACCGACGGTTATCCATTTCCATCACGTTTTCTTTATATAAATCGAGTATTAACCAATTGTATAACAGAAAAATCTTGAGATGGTAGTAATGAATACCTGCACATTATCTTGGGATGTCTGTAACCAAGAAGGCAAGCTGGATCAATGATGGTCTGAAACCGAACTGTTTGAGTCCTCACTTAGAAACAACGTTCACTTCTAGTTTAACTTTTCATCGCAAATGTGACACAGGGAACCAAAATGGATTGACATCCTAAAGGGGGGTCTTGATATCAGTTGGCATAGAACAGAACCCTCCAAAATTATGGCCAGATTTCACTTATGTTTGAATATTTAAACAAAAATTGAAACTTTTGGCTGATTATTCAAATTTCACCTGGATTTTGGGAATGTTTCTGGCATGGCAGGTCTGATTGAATTGATGGGAAGAACATGCAGGTCCCAAACTTGTTCAATTTCTGCAGCTCCAATCAACCAGAATCTACCACTGAATACTAATTGGGCTGATTCTGGCCAGCAAATGAGATAGAAGTAGCTTCTACTCGAAAGCATCCTTAAAAAGATGATTCAGAAATAAAGGGAGAGAAGGAAGATGATGAGGGTGTTTCTACAGGTTATAGGTGTAAAATTTGTGGACGACTGTCTAATTGATGCAACAAGACAAACCGTCAAAACACTTGTATTAGTAAGAATCGTCATTCTACCAGAGCTCATGAATAATGCTAGATACTATATGAAACATAAACATCAAATATAGATTGTACATGTAGTTAAAGTAATCACAAAAAATCTGTAATAAACATCTAAACTATAAGAAGCTAGATCTGTACCATCGAGTTATATGTGATGAACATAAATTGTTGATAAGCTCAACATTCGCATACTTGGAGCTTAATTGTTTAAGTTGTTCAAAATGACATGTGTGCAGGAGCAGTGGGCATACAAGTAATCCGTAAGAAATGTGAAGGTTAAAGATGGAGGTCGAATTCCGGTGAGTACACCTGCTTGCAACTTCATCTTCCCCTTCAAGATGTCAGCAGATGTGAAAGCAACAGTTTTTAAGATATGTTGGCCAGAAACAGTTTCTAAAATCTTTGATGCCATGGTTGATGGGAATGGGAGGAGATGCCATGATGATTGCCTCCGTTTCCATAACAAAATCAGGCTACATTCTTTTCATTCAAATAACTTGTCAGAATTCCCTCGATATCGCCATGATGTTAAAAACGTTAAATAGGATCATGTTCTAATTCTTCGCCTTTTGGGTTCTTACACTAATTGTTTTCGGTGTCGTATGTTTTCTATGAACAAGATGTGGGGAGTCTCTTAGCTAAAAACGATCATTACGATTGAGGAAATGAATTCGTTAAATTTGCATATTTATGGCTCATCCTTGTATGCTTTTTCAGGTTCAAATCAATGATCACGTATGTGGTTTCATTTATTTTGGTTTTTGTGTGCTTTGTTGATTACAGCTGAAATTCTGCCCTATGAAACACTCTCTTACCATCATTTTGTGTTATGATTGTATAAAACAAACTTATTTTTCTTATTTAGGTGCCGTTTACCAAACGCTTACCTGAGTAAGCACTTACCAAGTCAATTTACTTTTCCCGATGTTTACCAAACACCTACTCGGTAAGTGCTTACCGTTAAAATTTAACATTTTTATTTTCTTACCGGGAAATATTTTAGTCCACCAAAACGACATCGTATGCAAAAATTTACCCGGTAAGTGCTTACCAAGGTAAGAGTTGTCGCCCTCACTTACCGGGTAAGACTCTTTGGTCCTTGTGTCGTTCTTATCGGGTAAGATTCTGGGTCCTTACCATATTCATCCGGTAAGGTAATGTTACTTGGTAAGCGTTTGGTAAACGGCCCCTAAAGAATCTTACCCGGTAAGAGCGAAAACAAGAATCGAGAGTCTTACCCTGTAAGTGAGGACAAAGACTCTTACCATGGTTAGCACTTACCGGGATAATTGTTGCATACGGACCAAATGGCTTTCGGCCTAGCGGTATCGTAGTCCTTGGCTTCCTAGGAGGTCAAGGGTTCAAACCTCACCAACGGTGAGGAGGGTGTGTGAGTTTATGCGTTGTATTTGCCGTATATAAATATTATATACTTCAAAAAAAATAATTGTTGCATACGATGCATTTTAGTGAATAAAATCTTGCCTGGTAAGTAAGCGATAATGTTGAATTTTACCGGTAAATGCTTTACCGGGTAAGTGTTTAGATAAACGTCCCCTATATTATATTTACATAATATGCATTATACAAATAGGAAAGCTACTAAAATGATTTTTCAAAAACAAACTTTACCAACGGAAAGCCGTTGGTAAAAATAAAGGACGTCGGTATTAAGTGCCATCGGTGATCCATCGGTGATAAATTTCCCACAATGTTTATTCCGACAGACTTTACTGACAGATCAACAATGGATCCGGCGTTCTATAGTGGATGAAAAAGAATCATATGAAATAATACATGATGTTTGGCTTCTTTGAGATCTTATTATTTAGAGAGTTCTCGAAAGAAGGTCCTCCACCATGGCTATTAATTACACATATCATGTGTTTAATTTCCTCTCTTATTATTGATGAAACATTCAAACACGGCCATAGCTAATAATACCATGAAGGGTATGTCACTACTAGAAATCTGACTTTCACCACCGGATATTACTGACGGCAAGATTCCATCAGTGATTTCTCACGGAACAGTGAAGGAAATCCCACCATGGTCAACTATCCGGAAGAAAAGAAAATGCGTCGGTAATATTAAATATTACCGATGGATCACTGATGGATTTTAAATTAATTTCTTTTTTTATTTTTAATGATTTTTGCATATGTTCGTAAGTAATCTGTCGATAATTACCGACAGATTTTAAATTATTTTGATTTTTGATTTTTTTTAAAGTTATTTCCATGTGGCCATCGGTGATCCGCTCGTAATTACTGAGGAGACTTTTTTTATATTTTTATGATTTTTCAAGTTTTTTGTATTTGTACGAACTATAATTTGATTGATTTTGTATAATTTGCTATGTGTGTATGTGTACATGTGTATGTGGTATATATATATATATATATATATATATATATATAGAGGGTTTAGGGTTTAGTATATTATAAAGCATTTGATACAAACTCTTAAAAACCATTTTTTAAGCATGAAATACTGTTTATTGATGTTTATTGATGCATATTACTTAAAATTCAAGATTACAAATAATTATGCATAAGTATAACTTATTAAAGTTTCATGTTTGAATTCGTGTAACTAACTGTAGATAAAAATAATCAAATACAAGACAAATATCTCTTTTTAAATATAAAATATAATTATGATAATTATTGAGTCATAAGAAATTACTTACTTATCATATTATTCAACCAAAAATAAAAGAATGAATTAAAAAAATCACAAAAAAATGAAATTTTAAATAGTTAGTTTGGTACTAATATCAATAACTTTTTTTTAAATTTGTTTATGATGTATTTTCATATTTATATTTTATTCAAAAATAAAAATATTATCGTTTTCTCAAAACCACATAAAACTGTATTATAACAGTGAGACAAAAAAAAAAAAAAACATTAAAATCGAGATGTATCTCGCTGCATTTATACGAGTATCCTTCTGGTATATATATATATATATATATATAACTTTAATAAAATAAAGTATAAAATTTATAATCAACCATATTAAAATTAAATAAAATAGAATAATACTCAAAGAATTATAAAATTTGATTCACCCTCTATTTCCCACTTCTTTTTCATTTGGTTTTTCATCCCCTCTCTTTTTCCATCTTTATTTTGCATTCCCTAAACGAAGACTTAACCCACGGAAGCTCTCATTTTCCAAACCCAATGGTCAAGACGTCATGGAAGGTGAGTTTGATTGGCAGTGGCACAACTACAATGGTGAGACTGAGAGTTGAGGCTTTGAGAGGGTGATGGCGTGTCAGAAGGAGGGTGAGAACAGCAAAGATGGTGGTTAACGATGGCAGATAAATTTGCTGTAAATTATAAAATTAAATAAAGAAATGACAGAATTCAGCTTCTTCTTATTTAATCACTGCATGCTGAAATAACCATCAATAACAAACGTTTTTTCCACACAAACTTAAGACTTGAACGGCTAAATATTTTACAAGATACATAAATTTGAACATCGTTTATGACGATTAGACTGATCGAACGGTTGCTAAGCTTTCTGATCTTCTTTTGCCATTGCCATCAGCCGAGGCATGTGTCCCCCAACCACAAGAGTCATCAACCCTATCCACACGAACACAATGATAACTGACAAAGGTCTAATTGTCTCAGCCTGTTCTTTTGGTGTTGTAACCGTTATGGAAACATAATAAGTGATCGACAAAGACGTGGTAGCAATCCACATGATAACCATCATAATCCATGTGGAACCACGATGCTTCAAGAAACTCAATCCACTAATAAGCAACAAGATGATGCTAAGAGTCGAAAGAAAACCCACCGTGTTGCTGACCAGAAAGATATGGTGTAAAACTGGATGATTGTTTGCCATGACAGCATACCCAGCGTTTCGGGGTGGACTTGCGTCAGGGTTGTCTTCTTGCCAAACACCACTCGGAGGATTAGTACCTACTTGAAAGGCCATGGTTGCTATGAATGATGCCACAACCATCAAAGTGTTTCGCTTCTTGTCCAACCAGTCTTCTCTTTTCTTTTGGCTAATAGGCGGGAACAGTTTCTTATAATCTAAACACGTTTTGCTTATCCATTTTTGAGGATTTTTTTCTATCAAACCTTCTGTTTTTGGCTTAACAGCATCTGCGCGTGTTAGGGATCGTATGATTTGTTGATCTTTCACATCTTTTGGACCTTGAGCCAATATATCCATAGATGTTTCCCCATTTGTGTTTGATGCATTCACTTCTATTGTTGTATTAAGTAGCAAGAAGTTTATGGTCTAACAAATATTCAAAATAGTGAATTAGTCATAATCGATAAACAAATCTTGCGAGTACGAAATAAAAAGGCAATCTTTTTCCCAAGAATTATAATACATATATATATAATACATATATATATATATATATATATATATATGAATATGATGGAAAAAGTATTAGTATAAATACCTCAATTTGTTTGTCAGCCACAGCTAGGTGTAGTATATTATTGCCATCACCATCCTTAGAGTTTACAAACTCATGATCACCCATACTCTCCACCAACAACTTCAAAACCTCCAGCTGGTTATGCTTCACACACAAGTGCAAGATGGTCTCCTGCTCCTGCTCCACCATGGCCCTAGCTGCATGTGGTTGAGCTTGCAGCAGCTCTTTCACAACTTCATAACGTCCTTTAATGGCTGCAAGATGGAGAGGGTTTCTCCCGTCACGATCACGTGCAAGGCACGTGTCAGGGTGAGCCGATAACAACGCCTTAACTATTTCCACGTGCCCCTTTGCAGATGCTATATGAAGGGGCAAGCGCCTTTGTGAATCGGACTCTCTGGCAAGCTGCGGCTTTCGGCTTAAGATCTCGTTGACAAAGTCAAAATGTCCAAGCATCGACGCAACGTGTAGAGGCATGTCGTCACAACGGTTTATGGTAACTCTATCAAGAATCAAGGGATCTTCTTGAAGCAATGTTTGCAAGAGGGTTACATTTCCTTCTTCCGAGGCATAAAAAAGAAGTCCCTCCACTCTCTTCATGTCTCAAATGTACAGAACACAAGAAGGTACACAGAACACAAAAAGTATAGATTAGATGATGTTATTTTATACATGAACGCAATTTCTGCTTAGAAGATTTTTCTTAAGTTGATAATTCCACGTGACTTTTTTTTAATCTCTTCATTTGGAAAAGTGGTCATCTTTTTAGACGTCTTTATCAAAATTATTAAGGCATGATGGATTATTGGAATCGGAATTGAAACCATATACAAAATGATCCATTTCTCGCATAATGGATTGGATATCCAGGTTAATAAAAAAAAATGACCCCTTTCAATTTGTGGAAATAATTTCAACAAGGCATGTTTATTTTGTCTTTTTGACAACTTGGTATTTGTCAAATTTATACCGTCATAAGTTGCGGCTTTGCTGATCAAATGAAATATTGAGGGATAGTTTCGTAACTTTTACAAATAGACGACAAACAAGTGCATATGTGAACCCATAAGGGCATTATATATATGAACCGATAGTTCATATGTGAACTCGTTAATTAGTTCATATGTGAATCAATTAATTTGTTCATATATGAATCACACAGGTTCATATGTGAATATACACGGGTTCACATATGAACATATAGTTGATATTGGAATCACATGGGTTCACATATTCACTTGTTT